AGGAATAACTTGGCCTGTTTTCAAGACAGGAGAAGGATTCTGGTGTCAAAGTGTTCAGGATTTAACGTTGAATTTTAACCAAGCAATAATTGAAAATGTAGAATTTTTTTTCCAGGATCTAATTGATATTCAAAAAAATATGCGAGGCGGAAAGAGTTCTCTTGTCGCAAAAATCAAATTTTGAGTCATTAATTGTTGTGCCAAATTCTGAACACTTTGAGACCAGAATCGTTCTCCCATCTTGAAAATTGGCCGAGTTATCCCTTTTAGAGGTTTCTAGAGAGGTCACTTTTAAACCTTTTCGCCTGGCATTTGGTAATTATATTATTTATTTTAATGAGATAATAGAAAAAACAAAAATAGTTTTCTGAACATTTCCAATAGGCTATTTTTGCTACTTAAATTGCTCATTATCGGACCACTTGGCGCCACCGCCGTGCCAAGTCAACCGGCAACGACTGTAGTACTATAACATCATTAAAAATGGTTCGGTATCAACTCTAAACGCGTTAAATGATAATATATATATATATATAATATAATACAGAGTGATTATTTGATCGTGATCAACTCAATATCTCATAGATTGTAATAAGAAATTAAATTTTTTTTTGTACAATTTGACAATCTCAGTTTTTCACAATTTTGGTGAAGTATTATGGAGGTGAATTTGATAGCGATAGTGGATTAGAGATAACATATTAGAGCTACTAGATTGCAGGACGTGTATTGGTGTGTCTGCACGAAGTAACTTCTTAACTTTTATCATTTTTATAAAATTCAAAATTTGTTAGCTGAAAGTAAAAGTCGGTGTAGTTTATGGCAAAAAAAGAAAAAAGACTGCCCCAAAGCGTGGACATAAAAAATTGCTACTAGAACGTAGCAATTTTTTTTTTTAATGGCAATTTTTGAAACTCAAATGGTAACGCATACGTTTTGTTAGCTCGACTTGATAACCGTTTTTGAGCAATTTTTTTTTTTTAGGTTCAAACGTGTCAGGATGGAAGGAGGGGGGGGGAATACTACTACACCCCGTCTTACCCGTCTGCCCAAAACTTGAGTGTTGAATAATTTAAAAAATAGCCGTTATCCAAAAACCAGTTGTCGACCAGTCAAAATATGTTTTCAGTTTTCAATCGTTCTCAATTTAAAAATGCAAATATGAAAGTCATCGGTTACCGTTTGAGTTGCTGTCGAATCAAAACTTGAGTTGAGAGGGGGTGAAAAAAAAATTGTGATTAATTGAGAATTTCCTATTGAACCCTATGCGAGACGGTCGCGAGTGGTTCACTCTGAAACGATCATCACCCTGTATTCGAGTATTTTCATTGATACCGGCAACAAGCGGTCAATAGTAATAATTATTGTTGCCGCGATTAACTTGTTCATAAAAAAAAAAAAAAAAAAAAAACCTTTTCCAGAGTTATCAGCAGAAGCAGCATAATATGCACTGCCCTACTTAGGAAACGCGCTAAAATTCACAACCAATTGACGTCCAACCGTCATTGAACTGCACTTAGTCGATATTAGTGTTGTGGCCGTGTTGTGTATTATTATTATTATTATTACTATTATACCGTTACGGCCTGTGTGTATGATAATAATAAATGATAATAATAGTAGGTATATATATATATATATATAAAAAAAAAATACATTTAATCGTTCGGGCTCGTCTTGGCCATTGTCGTTGTTATTGTTGCGCCGATGCAGCAATAATAATAATTGAACATAAGAAAAAAAAAATTGTTTTTTATTGGCATTGATGAACCGACTGACGGCGATAACGATACGGAGGGTTATTTAAATTTTATGTCACCAGTAATGGCCCCAATGTGGCCCGGGAAGCTTTTAAAAAACTTTAACTGTTTCATAATATAATATATATATATATATATTACATTATAGACATTAGCCGATATAATATATAATAATTATCGTTTAGGCTTCCCAAAATCAAAAAAAAAACACAATTTTTGTTTACCCAAAAGTCTTTGATTTAGGGTCGAAGAAAGAAAATGACAACATTTTAACTTGACTGTATAATGTCTAGAGGTGATTGAAAACTATTTATATATTTATATTTTTTTGACACGAATATGTCCTGCAACATATCCGTGTATTGATGTATCTGCTTGATGTGTAGATACTCTTAACTTTTTTACTATTTTTTTTTTTCAGTTGTGAAGCTACAATATTGAGCTACTACAATATAGTGAGCTCGTTGTAATGATAATGAAAAAGAATTGTAAGAGATAAATATTTTGTTATCACTACTTAAAAGTCCATTTGAAAATAAAAATTCTGTATTTTTTTTAAGTCAGTAAACAATTTATTCGATAAACTAATAACAAATTAGCTGATATTTTCCTCATAGTTTATTAAAAGTTTTTTTCATTGTCTTTCCAACAAGCTCACTCCGAATATTGTAGTTTTAAAACTGAAAAACATTATTCTTTTCAATTTTAACCGAATAGGAAAGGGGCGTAGGCGTGATGTAATTCTGAGGAGGGGCTATACATTTTTAATATTATTGTAAAACTCATTCAAAAACTTTAAAAATTTCAATTTTCACATAGAATTTATTGATTAAACTAAATTTTTTTTTTTAAATTTTGCCACAACAAATTCCTTGTAAATGTTACGAAGAGTCCAAAATATGTTTGTTAACATATGTTTATGTAAAAAAACATAGCTTGTTTTAGAAGTAGAATAAAAAAAACAAATATCAAAAAAGATCTTTCTTTTCTGTATTTTTATATACATACTATGTATGTTTACAAATCTCAGCCTAAGTTTATATTTATTGTAAAATTGCCTATCCAATGCGCCTTAATAAACGCTAGTGTCCAGTAAACATATTATTTTAAACATTAAACGGTAATTTATTAACAGATCACTTTTAAAAATCAAACAGAAATCTATACAATTAGATTTACCTATCAAAAGTTAAATGATGTAATGAAAACAATGATTGGTCGATAACCGGCTTTAGACGAAATACATTTTTTGAGTTAGGTGTGGTCCTAATTTTTAAACTTAGATCAACATGGATCTTTTATGAGTTGTTCTACTGACAATAGTTTTTTTTTTAATAATGGTTCAATTCAATTTTATTTAAACATACCAAAACTTGATATTTAAGTGGATTTTTTAAATGGTTTTTTTTTTCTTTAAGAAACTTCTGTCAAGTATTATTCAAGCACTCACCTCTGTGTGAGTTACTTGTGCCAAGTCGAGTTTAATTATTACCAATAATTTGATTGAACAACAATATTATTACATTATACACAATGATGACATAATTTTGAATCTAGCGTTATGATTCACTTATCTAAAGTCTTAAACGGAATTCAATGTGGTTCAAGTATTAGCTGAATGCATGCGCGATAGTCACTTGACACGTTATGTAATAATGTATTTGACAGTTAAAATTTTTTAATTTTTTAGTTTGAGCGCACCTATAACGGTTGAGTGTTTATTTTGTGTCCAAGATATCCCTACAGGTGTAAACATTGATTATTAATAGTATTTAATATAATATTATCAATGGTGTAAATTAATCAGTCAAGACAAACAAACGATTTGGTTTCACATTTGTACAAATAATAATAATTTCTAACTTACAATAACCACCGACTTTGGTCTGTAAATTGCGATAAGTTTTGTTGTAACAATGTTGACTTCAATGTATATTAGTTACTATACTAATTATTATGTGTGCTGCATATTTATATTAAACAAAGTTATCTATTAATATTGATTATAGATATACACCAGCTATATATATTCGGCCGACGATTAAAAAAAAACAAAAATGATTATGCATCATATATATTTTTCTCAATAAAAACATTACAAAATATAGAAAGAAAAAAAAAATAATAATATATGGCGGTACACTATCTACTTTACTCGTTAATATTAATTTTTTTATAATCTTAGTTGTAGCGTCAGTTTTACATCTGCTAATTCGATAAAAAAAAAATTATTTACAAAATCCTTAAAAACGAGTACTCCATTTCAAGCGCTATATATATATATGTAATTGTAGCTATAAAAAAACCTTATCGACAATAATAATAATATAATAATATGTAATTGGTGTACACTTATATTGTGTACTTGTATAACAGCTAACGAGCGTGTACATTGTACAACTCTTCAAGAGTGGTATTTACAAATAATAATAATCGCTTATACACAAAGAATATTATAAAAAATTCGAGCACAAGTAGAAGAATACAAAGTTGATAATAAAAAAAAAAAAAAAAATCCTAAAAAAATTCCTCGACACCTATATGTATAATAATTTGTTAAAATAACTATATATATTTATTGTTAGGTACGTTATAGTAAAATAAAATAAAAAAATGTTAGTAAAAAGTAAAAAAAAAATATTAATATATTTTGTATATTATACATGGCAATCGACATGAACTACATCGACGCGCGCATAAGTTGCATCACTGAAAAATAATTAAAAGATTAATATATATATTATTAGCGTTACGCGTTTGACAATACTAAAGCGCATTGCCCGGCGGTAATGTATATCGTAACAGCTAGACTTAAATGTATGTTTTTTTGTACACTTACTAAATAATACATCAATTATAATACAAAATAGAGATAATAATAATAATAATAATAATAATATTGTGTTCACAGAACGTACGAATTGAGACAATATATCATAGATATATGGGACCGAAACACTACCCTTAGTGCGCTCACCCTCTACGCTCCAGGAGCCGAAGGGGTGGCGCGCGTTCGGGGTAGTTTAGTTTGAAAAAAAAAAAAAAAAAATACATTCGAAAAGTGCCTTTGAAAGATCTTTTCGAAGACACGACCGGACGGACAGGGTGTTTGTCGTGGAAGTTCCCTCGGGACCCTCTCCCGGACTTACCCGCGCCTGGGGATGCTTACTCCCCCCCCCCCAAAAAAAAAAGACGGACATTAACCCCCCCCCCCCCGCAGACAGGTGTCTACTGCCCTCGTAACCGAGGCGAGGGGACGCCTGCCCGCGTCGCCCGTCTAGTCGTCGTCCGGTCGTCGTCGGTTTTGCTTAAGATACTATATTTACACGGAAAACAATCGAGACACTGATCGACTCGTGGGCCAAGGCGCACAGAATCGTCGCTGGAGACGCAACACTCGGCGTTGTCCAACAACAGTGTGGCCAACTCGATTTGGCCGCGGTGTTGTCCAACAGTGTGGCCAACTCGATTTGGTCGAGAGGTCGGTTCGCGAAAATTACCTTCCGCCATTGACCGAACCACCCGGCGTTCGCCCCTCGGGCCGTCCCGGTCGACGGGGCCGCGCGCGGACCGCGGTCTAAACGTCCGCGGTCGCCCCGGGACTGGCGGCCGCGGTCGACGGCGAACCGCCGCTGTACGGATGGCAGAACTGGTAGACCAGCCTCTGCGACCGTTCCGTCTTCTTCATGATGCCCTTCTTGTAGTATTGCCGTATGCTCCGGGACAGCTTGTCGTAGTTCATGGCGGGCCTGTTCTTGCGGCGACCCCACAGCTTGGCCACCGCCACCGAGTCTTCGATCTTGAACACACCCTTGGGCCGGTCCAGCCACCGTATGATCGTCGCGGTGCCGGTCGGTTTGCCACCGTCTTCGGCGACGGCGGGTAGACCGTGGTCGTCGTGCTGCTGCAACAGCTCCTTGAGGAATTGCCACAGGTGTATGTGGTGGTGATGGTGTTGTTGTTGTTGTTGTTGTTGTTGGCCCGAAGACCCCGCCGTGCCCGAAGACGCCGCCGAACAAGAGCCCGGCGACCGCGCGGACGAGGAAGGCGACGTGGCCGCTGTTCCGGCGTAGTATTCGCCGTCCTCTTCGTCCCTGTCGCCGCAGTCCACCGAGATCGGTATCGACATTATGTTGTCGTTGACGTCCAACATTGGCAACGGCAAGCCACCTGATGGAGGGCGAAACAAAAAAAAAAAAAAACATTAAATTATTCGTCAAGCCGATCGGGCACAAAGACACAAGCTGTACGAACACAAGGCGGGCCTTGATTAAGACACGTTGAACCGTCGGGGGAAACGCCTGGGAAATATGGCCCTTTAGCAACGAGCAACGAAGAATGACAAATTCGAATGATCGATGTGAATGTAGAAATAGACGAACGGAAATGAGCAAAAATCAAATTCTGATTGAAAAAAGTGCGTGCGATGCATCGTTTAATCGGAAACTGTCGAATGATGTCATAGATTCTCCAGGTTTGCTCAGTGACCCGACGGCGCCCACGGTGCCTGAACAATAGACAAAGTCTCTGCGAGCTTGTGGGTTTTTTTTAAATTTTATTTTAACCTACGCAGTGTTAACATGTAGACCAATGCCAATAAAGGTATCAAATATAAGTTTGACATTGGGCATAACGAGATGGCCCTTACCCGAAGACGTCGAAGAAGCAGGAGAAAACGATCCGAGTGGCGACAAAGACGTGGTCGACAATATCGTGTCTTGTTCGTGATCTATGCGTTGACGTTTCATGGGTGGCTGTTGGCCGTTGGATATGTCCGTTGACGAATTCCTCTTTTGTCTGTGGTCATCGTCTTGCTGTTCTTGTTGGAGCAGAAGAGATTTCCACATGTCCATTTGAGCTCTGATCCGGACTTCATCTTCACGATGCTGAAAATAAAATATTCAACATGTTAGTTAATGTATTGGATACCAATACAGTAAAAAGCAACAATTATGGCTCAAGATAACTTCTGATGATAAATGGGCAGTTTTAGGTCTGTCAGTAGATAAAGATGGTGCAACAATTATTTTGGGGAAAACCATGTTGTTGAGGCACTGACATGAATGATGAACGGTGTGTTCTTTAGGGTCGTTGGTCTTCTTAAATGGTCTCCCTAAGGTGGTTGGTGATCATATTGGCTATTCCAAATTTACATTGGCCGATAGGCTCGGATCAGACGAATTCGTGAGCTTTTTGGTTTCAATCAAGGCAGGTAAGGTTTGCGAGGTCAATGGCGGCGCTTCCGATATAATTATAGCAACAACAGCAGCAGCAGCAGCAGTGGTCGAGTTGAATCGAAGAAACGGTGTCAGGACTTTCGTTTGAAAGATTCGGATTGAAATATGCTTCACCGAGATTAGAATTAATTTCATTTTAGGCCAACCGACGAGGCTGTTGTATGTTTGTATAATCGGTGTTGCCGCACGTGGTCGTTTAGAAAGACAGAAAGTGCGCGGTCCAGAAACTAACAAGGTGGAGAGGGCCACGAGTGAGAGGTCGACTATTAGTGTGTGTGTGTGTGTCTGAGACTTTCACCGGTCAGCGTCGTAGGCTGTAAATGAGAATTAATAATAACCGAGGAAAAGAAACTTCATCGTCGCCTTCGCGTTAAAAAAAAAAAAAAAAACGTTTGCGGAATTCGTTAAAGACTTCTATAGCAAGGTCGCGCAATAGCCAACAGCGACAGCTCTGTAATCCGTGCCAATATAATATTTTCAACTCGACCGGAATGGTTAATGAGAATAATTCTCGTGTAGAAACCGTCTTAGATATGTGTACACGTCGGACACCATGTTTTTACCGATTTAGAAAGGCGTAACCCGATGAGTAATAATAAGTTATTGGCGTCGCTTGTTGGAATATTAGCTTGGCAACGGAAGATTAGCGACTCGTCGATGCGAAGAAGATGCCCGAAAAAGATACTTGGAAAATAAATTAGACTCCTAGTAAATAATTATCTCCCAAAGATTTACACGATCGACGTGAATCTCCCAAAAACGCCATCCGACATGCTTTCAATTTTACAAGAACAGCAAACATATCAGTTTCGATAAAATTACGACCACGTTATCAATTCTCCGGCTATAGCGTTATCATGAATCTTAGGCCCACCCGCGAAACAGTGTGGCCAACTTAACTTGATTCGGCCAAAAATTGATATATGTGACGTTGCATATCTTAAGCGACGATTTAATGTTTCCCATTGAATTCGAGTTTAAATATATATATTCAAAACTGTAATCGCTTTAGAGTCATTAACGGGGCCCAACGTGCATTGAAGTAGAGTTCACGAGTTGCAAACACAAAGAGATCACATTGTTACAAGATGTACAATTAATAAATTATGACAACATATTATTATAATAATAGTCGGTTGAGATAATCGTTCAATCAGACACCGATTATTATTTTTTAATACTCATTTCCATTCACACATAATTATAATGTTTTTTCGAAGGTTTGAGATAACCCATTTTCAGATAACCGTTGCCCGCCCAATACAATAATTGAAAATCTTGAATCAATTTCAAAACTAACCGGTGAAATTTAAGGGTTTTTGCCGACATACTTGATTTTTATGGATTTCTATGGTAATAAAGATTACAAAAAAAAAAAAAATATGTACAAAAACAATAGCTTCAGCATTTGTAGTATGTGATGACATTGCAAAAAAAAAAAAAACGGGTTTTTGCAGTATTCAAATTTTTTAAATTCAAAGCACTTTTCTGGTCTTTTGTTCGCCGATATATATATATATATATATATATATATATATTTGTATTTAAGAACGTGCCTGCTAACTAGGTCGATTACACGCGAAACGCTCAAAGAAAATAATAAGTTGTATGTCATATTTTGTTTAGTGTCCAAAGAAATGAGAAGAAAAAAACCAATTTCGATTTTTTTCAAGCCAAAAGTATTCCACAGACCAAAACAGCCGCGTGGACGGAATAAATTATTTTCGAAAATTCTATTCGACTTACAAGTCCGTCGGTTGTTTAGGAAAATGTGTTCGTAGGAACTGAATATGTGAGACGACGATAAATTTGATAACCGAATCGCTTTGTGTAGTAAACACAAGACAGCTCCATATTGTTTTTTTTTTGCTTTTAGTAAATCTTCAACAAACAGCCAAAAGAAATCACATTCGCTCGCATCCCATTCGCTCTACTTTTGAAGGGCATTTTTTTCATGAAAAAAAAAACAGTTTTTTAACTTTTTTTCTTATACAAAAGCGGATCTGCGTATTGCGTTGTTGCATCAGAGAGTACTCGCGGTGACGTCAAACCGTAGTCGAGGAATTTGATTTTACATATTAACAGTGTTAATAATATTGTAATAAGTCGACTACGCCCTCGCCGAGCACACAAAGCGGCGTTAGTGCATCGACTCCATTATAATATACAAGACAAGTCTAAAAATACACATTATAATAATTCATTACGAGTCGGTTGTCGGTTTAATTTTCATTTTTTATCCAGACCAAAACGGATTTTAGCCTCCGGGCCAAAGTTCTTTGTGTGTAAAGTGCGCACACCCATTTTTCACCAACATTCCTGTGGCGTAGCACCGCGACCTTGGCCGGATCTATTTGCTTATTAAAAGTACTGTAGAGTGATATATTATCGTTGTCGTCTGCCTGTCCGAAATTCAATGGCCCCCGTTAGCTGTCGATTGTCATAATGATATCATAGACACAGGCGTGCACACATTAACGATATGCTGGACCATCGAACGTCTTTAGATATTGCACGATATCGAGTCATATCCGTCTGCTCGAAAAGCATATTAACAATTATCATATTGTTGTTATTATTAGCTAGCTAGGTAGGTACGCACTATATTGTGCGTTGTGGACTCGGTTCGAAATGCGATTAAGTGTAATTATTGTTCTTCTTGTGTAACAACCTAACCGACGATGGATGACGTCAACGCGACCACCTTTTAATTATGTTTTTTTTTTTCTTACTCTCTTCAAATAATAAAGATGTATGTTATTCGTGCGGTCGTTTGGGAGAGAGAGAGAGAGAGAGAGAGAGAGAGACCGACAGACAGAGAAAAACAGAATATATGAAAAATAAAAATATATTATTATTCTAAACTAACGCGGTTGTTGTTGTGGAAAATATACTAATAGTAATAATAATAATAATAATAATAATAATAATAATATGCGAGCACAAAACCCGTTTCCCCGGGCAGGAATGCGGTGAGTTGTGCGCGCGGCCAGAAGAGTTTCTCTTCTGCTTGCACTAATCCACTGCTCGTAAAAAACGACCGTCTTCCGAGTGATAAAATTTCAATAAAATCGTAATAAAACCGAGGAAAAAAAAAATGAAAAAAAAAATAAAATAAAAGAAGAGCCACTAAACGGCCGGCTGACGATTATAAAGCTACATCGTTAGAATAATAATAATAATATGAACGTCTTGATTTTTAAATGGTTTTTTTTATTTTTTGGGGTTTTTTTACGACAATATTATTATTTTCTTTGAAATGAGGCCACGTTTTTTTTTTTTCGATGACCCGACTGCCGTCCAAGTCTAAAGTCGGGCGGTAGTTAATGGTAAATTGCAAAAATTGGACTAAGAAAAGTACTTACAAAAATATTTCGGATTAACGACGAAATTGTTTAGCAGCAAAAGTAAAAAGTTTTAACTTGCCAATCGACTCGGACCATCGAGTAGAGGCACCCGATTAATAATTGGGTTGTTCAATGTAAAAGTGGTGTAACAATTGAAATGGAGAAGCAATAAATGCACTGAATGATTACTTGTATTTGTTTTGCTACACGTTCATTTGCAAAAAGCTTGTTATTTCAAAATCCAATTACAAAGAGATGATTCACTTTTACAATGAACGACACAGTTAACTCTTCAGTGTCCATTGTGGCACAAAACGCAACATATTACATTTAGTTATCAAACGCGAATTGCTGTTTACCAGACGTTATAAAATATGTAATTTTCTATATATATATATACCTAATTTCCCTAAATTCCTGATGGTTTAATTTCTAGGGAATAATTGAGTTTATCTAAAAGTCATGTGCTAGATTATTATAGGTACAAGCATGAAGTAGTGTAAAACGACATACTTATGTCCAGTCAAACAAAATATGATGTCATCTCTGCCTACAAAACCCTATGCTTGACCATTTTATCGTTTTCTCCACAGGCGCAACTCTGAAATTGTCGTTTTGCCACTAATAAAAAACCACTCACTTCGTCCTGGGGCGAAGCAGGATTGCTGGGTTCGCTTTTGAAGTCCCTGCAGGCACCGTCTCCGAACAACAATCCGTCGACCAGAGCGGCGGTGTCGTCGAACAGAGCTTGGCCCGCGCAAAGGTCCACTTCGCCGAGGGCGCCGTTTTGCTGGGGCGAAAGCGACGGTACCGTCATGTCCAACGACGGGCTGTTGCTGTGGTCCCACTGGTGTTGCTGTCCGACCATATTGGCGGCCCATTGCTGTTGTTCCGGAGAGGACGTCCATTTCCTGTGAGAGGCTGCAAAAAGCGCGAAAACAGTTAGTGTCGAAAGTCTTTGGATTTCCCGGCACGTCGTATGCCACCACCTACCTCTTTGCAAGACGGAGGACTTGTGAACGGCGGCGGTTGTCTTGTCGTCGTCAAACTGCTGGCGGTCGGCGGTGGGCACTCCTTGGTCGGTGGAAGAGCAGGCCGAGTACAACAACAGTTCGGCCAGTTCGGCTACGGCGTTGGCCGGAGAAGTCGATCCGACCACCACGGCGGACGTGGTCGGGTCGTCTTCGGTGGTCAACCGTTCTTCTTTCGGGCCTCGCAGCATTTCGACGAGCAGCCTGTGACTGGACGCCTTTCGGCCGTCGGCCGACCCCAAGTCCGGCTTGGTCTCGACCCCGTCGTCGTCTGTGGTGGTGGTGGCGGCACAACAATCGTTGGGTTCGTCCTTGACGACGGCGCTGCTCTCCAACAGGGACCTGAGCAAAACCGAAGACGACCGCCGTTTGCCGGCCCCCTCGGCGGTCGTTGTCAGGTCGGCCGAAGTCGGCTCCGACGGTTCGTCTTTCACGAACCACGTGCAGTTGACGTTGTAGGTGACCTCGGAAACGCCACAGGCCGACGGCCGGGGCGACGAAGAGGACGAGATGAACGCGGACGGGGAAGCCGAGGGCGACGGCTGGAAATCGTCGACCTCCTCTTTGATCGCCGTCGCCGGCAAGGCGGTGGCGGCGGTGGCGGCGGCAGTGGCAGAAGACTTGAGCAGCACGTCTTGGAAGTTGCCGGCAGCCTCGGCCGTACAGTAGTCGTCGTACAGCGACAACAGCTGCGTAAGGTCCAGGGTGTCCAGGGTGTCGGCGCCGGCGTAACAGTTGGGGCCGTTGTTGTTGTTGTTGTTGTTGTAGCTGCCTCCGCCGGTCAGCTGGCTCAGGATTTGATGGTCGTCGTCTTGCTGTTGGAGCCCGGCCGGCACTGTGCCGTCGGCCGACGACGTGGGTTCGGCCGCGGCGGGCTGAGGCAACAGCAGGGACAGGTCGAAATTGTCGAGGTCCGAAGGGTCGGCTGCCGTCGCCGCTGCGGAAGCACCGTAGTGTTGCATATTGTTGTTATTTTGCTGCTGTTGCTGTTGCTGGTGCTGCTGCTGCTGCTGCTGCTGCTGCTGTTGGTCGTACGTCGGTGGATCCGCACACCAGGCAGCCGACATGGACACAGCTCTGGGCACGGTTTGAGCCATGATAGCCTGACGAAAATATAACTATATCAAAACGGAGAATGAGATATTGCGCGAATGTGTACGACCGAGCAGAGCGCATAGAGAAAATATTTCCCCCCCCCCCCCCCCGAGGAGTTGTGGGGCACACGAATATTTGGCCGATGAATAATAATAATACGCATTAACCGGAGGCGGCGGCGGTTGTTGTAGAATATAAAAAAACGAGTTTTATTAATATGGCGGAGCGGTTGTGACACAGTTTCACCACACAGTGTTTGCACGTCGTTCCTCTCTCTCTCTCTCTCTTACACGTATATAGAATAACCATTGGGAATTCCCGAGCGCGGAGAGAGAGTAGCTGTTATACGGCTAGGTGTGGTGTGTGTGTGTGTGTGTGTGTGTGTGCAGTGAAATATGGCGGAGGAGTGGCGCGCCGGTGGTGAAGGGGAAGAAAGAAGAAATAATAATATAATAATAAGAAAGGAACAGAATGTAGGGTACGGTGACGTGGTGCCCACCGTTAAAGTCTCCGCGACCAAAGTCAAAGCAACTAACAAAGTCTGCAAACACTAACATGTTATTAACAACAATCACGTCCGTAAAACTACATAATATAGGTACATACAACATGACAATAATAATCATAAAAACAATTATAACACTGCGGTCTACATACGCCGTGGCCCATATACATAGTACATATTAATTATTATTTAGTTGGCAATCAAACATGTTCATATTCCACGTACGGATCGTAGTAGTCGACCGGAGCAAATAACAATATAGTCAATAAATAACAATAGAAATAAAAATATTATGTGCAAAAGAGGCTCACGTTTTCGAATCCAATCATGTTCTTCCGGAAACCGGTCGTCGACGCATAAGTCAAACGCGGATGGCACTTTTAAGACGTTTGACGGTACAACGGTTTTGTGTGTGTGTGTCCTTCAATCGAAACTGTGCGAATCGAAAAACGAATAGATGTGTTATGTTTTAAGTACACACCGAGTGTTTGTTGGCTGGTTTAACGCGTGCTGGCCAAACGTCGTAGCCTGGTCGCTATTACATGAATACTGAACCGAACGGCAACAATATAGAGAGCCGCCAGGACCGTCGACCGTCTTGCGGATCAACTCTCTCTTTTGGCCGGCACGAGTGGGGTGGTACCGTGTACGGTGTGACGCGCAAGCGCACACACTTGAGTGCTTATTATGAACAAAAAAAAAAAAAAATAATACAATAATAATAATATGTCGTGGCCCAACCATAGTGGATAGTTAGTATTTTTTTCTTCTACGACTGTCATACCGAAGACCAAAACATAGTATGGCAAGCGGGCAAAACGCCAAGATGAACACTCAATTAAATTGCCCTGTTGTTTGTGTGGATGTGGTATCGCCAAAAAAAAAAAAAAAAAATCCGGCCTGAAGGACCAAAGGTGAAATTATTATGTCATTCCGGAATTCCTGGCAAAACGCGAAGATGTTTTGTTTCTTAAAAAAAAAAAAATCCAGTATTATTAAAAATACATATAAATAAATATATTTTTGTAGCTAAAAATTAAGTACTTAATTCACTAGGTTTTTTTTTACACCGTACAAAACGATTTGGTAACAAAATAATTGTCCACTCGACTTGTTTTCCAAAGTCAATTAGGTATTTTTTATATTACAGTGTAGTTTTTTAATTACAATTAATATGAAAAAAATACCAAGTCCGACGACAACAAATAATTATATAACAATAAAATAAAATATAAACGTTTATTAGTATTTTATTATAACAAGTTGTAGAAACTAATTAATTCTAAAAAAAAAAAAACAAACATATTTATCTCTTCTTCGTTAAAACATTTGCATACATTTTTAAATTGGCTTATTGGCAGTGTTGAAACGAACGCATTGAGTTTCAATAAACCATTTTCGATAGAGTTTAAACGTACAAGGTTGTGTGTACATTGCTGAGATAAAAAAAAAATATATTTAAAAAACAAATATGTGAAAAAACCGAGGAATTCATTTTGTACCATGAACTTGACATTCAAGACGACTTGGGGGTCGTTTTGGCGGAAACCAAAGGGCGTCGACTGCACTTTGGTGTTTAGCAAGTGTCGACATTTTAATGTTATATTACGATTAATAGTTGTGGGTTTTTTTATGCTGTGCCGGAACTTGACGCGTGGTAATTGTCAACGATGTCTCTGATGCTGAAGTAAGCTCCTGTCACGGCAGCTATGACGGACAGGGCGAAGAGGAATACGTTTTTCCCGTGCCTAAGTACTCTCCGGACACTGGACGACTCGGGTCCTTGGTCTTCGCCCTCGTAGTACAGCCATACGGTCTCCATGCAAACGGGCACGGTCAGACCGAGCACCGAGAAGCCAATGGACCCCACCAGCGAAACCAACGGACCTATGTCCGGTATAACGGTCGCCATCAAGACTACGAATGTGGAAAAAACAAAAAAAAAAACAAAAAAACTAGTAAAAATATTATGTAGGTGAATGATCGAGAGACAGTGGATTAGAGATAAGATATCGGAGACACTATAGGTTGCAAGACATGTCCACGCGTTGATGTACCTGCATAAAGTGTGGATACTTATAACTTTTTGTTTGATATTGTGGTACTGAAAACATAATCGTTTTATTTTGCTAGAAAAAGGGTCTGATAAGTTTTATTTTTATAAACCAAAGTACAACAGTTGTGATTAAGAAAGTCTTACAAAGTAAAATATTGCCACGACTGTCAGGTGGTGTTGTAATATTCTCAAAGTTTATATTGTTTTCTATATGACACTTTTATTTTTATTTTTCAACCATGTTAATATAATGTCGAATAAAAATGTTACATTTCATACACAGACAAGGGTTTTTTTTAATTAAAAAAACATAAACTTTTAAATTTTAAAAGTTTTGATTAGAACAAAGACCCAATTTTGCAACTTTTAAAAAAATTCCTTAGGCTAAATTAATATTTTATAAATTAAATCAACCTAACCAAACAATTGCAATTTTCTAGTTTTTCTTTTTGGAGACACTCTACTTTATGTTATTTTACACTATAAGACAATATTTAATTTTTTTTTTCAAAGCTCTTTTCAACTTTTACAACTTAACTGATAACGTATTTAATTAATTAACTTTTTAAATTGAAAATAATGTATTGAAAACGTTGACTGGCCGATAACCGGTTTTGGTTAATTAGTTTTAAAGTTACTAAAGTCATTTAGCTTAGATTTTATTTGGCTTTTAAATTGAAATAAAATAAAATTTCCAATTTCCTTATGAGGACGCCTGTCACATAATTCGATTTAATTAACGGGTTGGTAAAATCCTAATTTCAAAACAAAACTTAGTATTATTTAATAACTACAACAACAATGAAAGTCTTGGTGGGTGTATCACTTTGTTACTACATTATCGTAGAGTCTGTTTTCAACGTTTTTCACTAATTTTCTCCTGTATTGTTGGTCAGCTGTTAACAGCAGTCCTATGTAAGTGTATCTAGATCAATCATTGATCAATAACAAGACAAGTTTGTGCAGTAGACGTGGGGCGAAAAAGGGGTAATCTCCCCGAAGGTTAGGTAGAAGTAGTTTCTTCACACGGCTAGTCTAAATTAGCTAAGGTAGTATTTTGAAAATCAGTAACATGCGCGACTTACTGGTGCTGAGTATTAGGAAGAGTCGCATTGTATAGTAAACCACCGTTTCGGCGCCATCTGAAGATTTCTTCCCCTCACTCTTGTGTTGTTCGTCTCCGGTGTACAGATCTACCCCAAAGTACGACTTCTGGATACTCCTCCAAAGTAATTCCGCCGTGACTGTCAACTGTAGACCGTAGGTGAACAATATGCCCAAAGCTATTGCCAGCTTAACAGACTGCGAGAGCCTGTCAACAAAACCCGTTGCGTTAAAGTCGCTCACAATCAATGTCCCAGAAGATGAAATGGCAAGTTGTACTCGACTTACCAGCTGTCTTGGGGCAGACTTAGCGAAATGGATCCGGCCACCTGGTTACCGTATCGCAAGTAACCGAAAAATCCCATCGAACTGTTCAGCAGTACTATGATGGCCATCGACTTGAGTAGAGTGTACCAGGGTTTCTCCAGCAACGCTCTGGGGTTTTTCATGGCGCTTTCAATGTGGAGAAGCTGAAAAACAAAACGGAGACTTACACCGGCTGTGAGCACATCCTAATGGCACAAAGCCTCCAATGGGGGGGAGGGTGTATATAAGACTCCCGAAGACGATTGGGATGCTAAAGGTAGTTAACAGGAGTCATTTTTTGGATATCAATGGGACTCTTTTGGGTAATCATCGTGCAGGTGCTTCCTCTAGAAGTCTCTACTTGTCCGAAAATAAACTCCTGGTGGTGTATTCGCAGAGTCTCGGTGCTATTAAGGTAAAGAGTGACTGCTGAGAGGACAGTAAAGATGGCAATGGGGATGAATGCGAACCAGGTTGGGCTGATGATTCGGGATTCGAAATCGAAGGACAGTTATAAACTGAATTGCTCACCATTCCAACGCCTTCCATGGAACATAAACACGTGCCCATAAACAAAGGCCATTGGGACAGAGGAGCTGCGATCCATTGCACCTGGTCGGCTGCCGAACTCGAGGCAGACGTGACGTTGCCAATCTCTGATGAGACATCTCTGGTGTCGGATGACGTTTGGTCGCCAATCGCCAAGTAGTAGAACACCATGCCGCTGCCGATGCCCATGAACATGTTGGCTATGGCCGAAAACGGCACCAGGTATTTCATCAGCCGGACCATGCCCAAGGGTATGACGACCAGCGCCACCAGCGAAGGATACCAACGGATGGAATGATCGCGCAGTATTCCGTACGGGAAATAGTTGTCGACGAACTGTGCAAATCAAAAGCCCGCCAATTATTAACGAGCCAGGAAAAAAGAAGTGTTTAATCATGGTATGTTATCTCTTATCACTTATCATTAAATACTGTAATAAACTAGATTGCTAACTAGTGATAACTGATAAAAATGGAAGTCGACGTCCGCCATTTTTGTGGGATTTACGTGTGTGTATAAAATAATATATATATATATATCTATGATTCTGCGTTATCACTTAGCTTATATTATATGTTATACAAAATTCAATGTAAGGTTCTAATTCCACAGCTGGCGGAAATGGTAACTTATTTAACTATATTTGCGCATGTACACAGAGCCATTAGTTTATCATATATATATATATCTGTGATTATTACTGATCCTTATCAGATCTTTTTAAATGTCATTTCGTCTCTTATCATTATCCGTCATCAGCAGTTTCTTATCAACATCGGGAAAACAGAAATTAACGACTAAATTCCAGATATTACCATAAGACGTTTTCACGTCGAAAATGATCTCTTTTGGCGGCATACATACATTTAGCGATCTAGTTTATTATTTATCTGTCCATATCATTTTATCTCCTATCACTTATATTTTGTCTCTTATCATTTTTCTCTAAGCTCTTATCTCTTATCTCTATTTTTCAATTCCTTTTGGATACAAGTTTGTAAGACAGGTGATCGATATTTTTTTGTCACGTTCAACTGAAAACCAATTGTATTTTTAACTCTAATTGTTTTTTTTAAAAATAAATCGAATCGCGCAGTAATAATAATTGAATCATTTTCGAGCATAATATTGCGACTATGCCGAACAGCGCAATGAAGGTCAACACGATTTTCTACAAACAAAATTATGTGGCGCAGTAAATACATATTTTTTTTTTTTATCTATTTCATGCGTGTTTTTATATTTTATAGGCATAAGTATAATATAATCTATGTACTTATTTTGTTTTATTGCAATTAGGTTTATTTTTTTTGAAATTTCTACTGATTTGTTTTGGTTCTAATAAAAAAAAAAGGGCATACAAGGTCGTCGGAGCAATTAAACATAAGTGCTAAATTGATTCATTAAGTTATGATTTCGATCTTCAAACGGGTTTAGTTCTAAAACCGAACACGGCCATTGGTCGGGAGAGCTATAAAAATGTGAATAAGAATTTTACAGTGTAAAACCAGGAAGTTTTCTAATCTCAATAATATTCGAATTCCACTTAACGCGCAAATAAAACGACCATTGAGATCTTATTTGTCGTCCTAGTGTTGATAGTTTGTTTGGAATAAAATTGTTGTACTATTCATAATAATCATTCGCGAACAAGTGTTAATAATATTGTATGAGTAATATATTATATAAAAAAATAATGTATACACCGAAACGTTGTGTAAACATTTCATTTCTAGTAGTAGTGTAATAAATATAGAAAAAAATGTCTGGAAATTTCCCAGTAAAAGTGAAAGTTGCAGTGTTGATTTCACATGGTCAGTACCGAGTGGTAGGTAGGCGTTGACTTGGTTGTTTCAAGTGTAGAGTAGCTAAAGTCTAAGCGAATGAATATAAATAAAATATCCGTTATTGTTTTGATGTTTAGCTGCGCTTTTAGAAGAATTGTAATATTAAGAATAGGAAATTGTCTGGTCGTACAGCTCCTGTTCATATCCTCATAGCCTCGTTGGGAAACTAAAAAGGTACCTGGATTTTTGAACGTAGCAAGTCTATAGATTATAAATCGTACACTAAATGTACTTTGTTTGGGCCAAAAAAGTAAGAAGTTCACCCATTCCTAATCAAAATCTAGTAAAGCACCTCAACAGATGAATACAACTATTTAAAAACTCTTTATTAACAGTCGAATTAGTTTCATATGAAAAATATTTTATATGAAATATAATAAAAATAGCGCAAAAACCTTTTCCCCTAGTTGGAAACTTTCTGTTTAATCGGATTTTTTAGGTTTACTTTTGGGACTTGAGGTCTGAAAATTACACTGATGGTAGATCAAGAGCGAGGCTACAACCAGAGTTATGTAAATTCTTATTCGAATAGGTTTTCTACAATTTATTTTGATAACTAATTGTTTTCCTCTATGTACTGGATTTGCATATTTTGTAAAAAAAAAAAAACACTTACAAACTATTTAAATAATTTGAATAACTATGCTTGGAATTATTTGTATAAAAAACGATTTAAATGATTATTTTGAAATTTTTCGAATACATTTTACTTGGATAATGTGTTATCTAGACGATTATTTAGATTATGTGTTATCTAGACGATTATTTAGATTATGTGTTATCTAGACGATTATTTAGATTATGTGTTATCTAGACGATTATTTAGATAACGTTTTATTCGAACGATGCACAACTATGGCTATAGCATGAACAATTTTCAAAATTTTCAGGAAAATTTGTACTTAACCCTTTTTTTGGATTAAGAAAAAATGGGGGAAATTACACATTGACCGCAGTGAACGTCTAGGTGAATGCTATGCGAGTTAGGCAACAGCCGGTGTATCTGGTATACGTGTTTTCATCAGTACAACACGACAACTGGTTATTATTATTCCAGACAGACCCGATCGTATCCGCCGTAGTAGTGAAAATATTTTCAAAGCGATTTTATCACTCTCGGTCGTTCCTGTGCAGACCTCTCCCTCGCGCCCCGCCCCCCCCCCCCACCACTATTCTCTGGACTCACACCATCAGCTGCTGCACCGGCCGGTTTTTAAAATTGTTTCAAAAATGTTTTCAAAAGGGCAATTCAGGGTACCTGTTTGGCGGTGGTCGCTATTATGCAAACGTAGATGACGTTCACTCCGTAGTACGTGACAAACAGTGTGGTGCCGGTGAATCGTCTACAAACACAATTAATAGTATTAATTATCATACACCGGCTGCAGCTTATCGTTATCGTTATCGTCGTCGACATTGTTATGTCACACATTCCGTTCACGACCGACCTGGAGAGCGACGCCCACTTGGCGAATTTACCGCGGGCGCCGTGCAAGAACACGTACTCCACGGTTTCTGGGAAATCCAATTTTCGGGGTATTCCCGAAGGATCGCCGGGTTCGCGGGTCGTCGGTATCGCTTGAGAGCATTTTACCTGAAAAAAAAAACAAAAGAGCCCGTATGTTTAAAATTGTCATCATTAGCCATCAATGGGCGCAATTTCAATGAAAACTAGTAAACTCGGTTAAGAGTATCCACACTTCGTGCAGACGCATCACAATGCACATGGATATGTCCTGCAATCTAGTATCTCAATCTAATATCTTCTATCCATACCAACATATTAGTTAAATCTAATTACGTGACAGGCGTCCTCGTAAGGTAATAAATTGGAAATTTTATTTTATTTCAATAAATTAAAAGCAAAAAAAAAAACCCAAAGCTAAATGACTTATTAATTTCAAACTTTAGTAACTTTATGATTGTAAATTATACAAAACCGGTTATCGACCCGTTAACGTTTTCGATAAATTATTTTCATTTTAAAAATTTAATTTATTAAAAGCGTTACCCATTTAAGTTGTAAAAGTTGAGAAGAGCTTTGAAAAATTAATCCAATATTGTCTTATCATGTAAAATAACATAAAGTAGAGTGTCTCCAAAAGAAAAACTAGAAAATCGCGATTGTTTTTAAAAAAAACAATGTGTGTATTACATTAAATCGATCACCCTGTACTTGTCAGCAATCGAATGTATGACTTAACTAAATAGAAATTGTATTCAAACGGTTATCACACTTACAATAAATCAATACATCAACCGTACAAGACTAGTTGAGACGATTATAAGAACAAGGGCCCAATTTGAAATTTTGGTTTTTCCAAGAGACTAAAAAAATTATTTTTCTAAGTACATTTTTTTTAACGAAAACTTTATAATTTTGCCTAATTTATTGATCCATTAAATGGCTTGATTTAATTTATATAATTTTTAATTTTAATTTAGCCTATAGAATTTTTTTTAAAAGTTGTAAAATTGGGTCTTTGTTCTAATCAAAATGTTTTAAACTTGAAAGTTTATGTTTATTTAATGAAAAAACAAACATTTTTTCTGTGTATGAAATGTAACATTTTTATTAAATATTATATTAACATGCTTGAAAATAAAAGTGTCGTATAGAAAACAATATTAACTTTGAGAATATCACAACACCTGAAAGTAGTCGTGGCAATATTTTACTTTGTAAGACTTTCTTAATCACAACTGTTGTACTTTGGTTTATAAAATAACACTTATTACACCCTTTTTACTTGTTACATTTTTCACAACAACATTTATTTGTTGGTCGCACCTTGTATTATTATAGCCTTGTTCACATGTATATTGTATCATGAAAAATACCTCTTTAACATCCTTATACATTTTTTTTTGTACTATAAATTATTGGACCGATTATTATTTATTCCCGTTTTTAAAAAGTCAGTGCTAATATTTTTACAGTTTTTCCAAATAAATCACACATCCGTTTGACCCGAAACGACACATTTTATTGGCAAATCAATTGAGGGTGCTTAAGCTCTGCATTTTTCCAGGTGTTTAAATTTAAACTTAAATTAATGAGGTTAATGATTTTTTCAAGCAAGGATGTTGTACAACAAATCTGGTTTATTATCATTTGAATTTGTATACAAGAGCTAAACTTGTTCTGAAAATGTTTCTATAACTTTGTTTATGTTGATCTTGTCTTAAATGATTAAAAATATGATAATAGAATACAGACTTGTTACCTAAGAAGTCGCCCATTAGCAACACTTATGCAAATAATATTTAAATAATTTTTAAGTGTTTTTTTTAAGGTCGTTTATAATTTATTAAAAACATTATTTCCTGTGAATAATGTATACTACATTTAAAAAATATATAAAACCAGTCACATAGGAATAGTATATGTTTACTTGAATAATTAAAATTTAAAAAAATATTCGTTTAAGAATTTGCTCATCTCTGTATTAATATCCGGGCCGTGCGGTACAAGTGTGGTTGAGTTTAGATTAGAAATAAATAATCTAGACAAGATAAATTATTATTTTGTGTTTTCGTCTAGATCAAATCTAGATTTTCACGGATTTAGGCTGAAATATTTTTTGGGATGAATTGGGTTAGGTAACTAACATAATTAGTTAGGAAACGTTTGTACCAGTTGTAGTTTGTGACTAAATATTTTTTAGAGACTTTTTAAATTCAAAAAGCACAGATAAAGCACTTAGATAAGACGTGTGTAATCGGCTGGATACGATTTCGAAAAGGAAAAATCGAAGACTTTAGTCTTTGAGTGGAAAAGAACAACAATGTTGGATTACAATAACGATGTAATACCACTTGAAAAGTTTAAACAAACAACGGTGTGGTGATTTACAGTAGGTAATAGCGAAACTCCTTGAAATAGGCCTAAAAATCAACAAACAATTTGACCATAAATCTCGAGATACTCGAAGGTTAATGTTTGTTTTTATCTTGTCTGCGAACCAATAGATAGGTATACCAATTGTTATAATACCTCGTTGTGTTATAATTTTTTTTAAAAATAAAAAAAAAACAATTATCCGCAATTATTTTTTTTTCAGATAAAAAACGTTTTATGACAAATCCAATATAATATAGTAGGATTAATACAATAATAGGATATAATTGGACAAGTAAGATTAACACAAGCATATAGCCGATGTACTTACTATTATCGACAGTGTATTGTAAACGGCCAGGCCCATGACGAATGTGCCCAAAGAACCCACCAGTAAGCCGGCATGCTTAAAGGCGTCTGGCATCGACAGGAAACCACCGCCAATGGTCGACTTGACTATGTGCACTGCCGCTTCCAGATTTCTATGGAAACACAGAGACAATAGGTTAGGTTAGTTTGTAAGCTGCTGTGTGTGTGTGTGGTGTGTGACCGAACCATGTGTTTTTTTTTTGTTAAAACTAAAAATATTAGGTTGATCTTTCAACCCAAAGAGCCAACTACACTTGAGACTGAGCGAATGATTCAAGTACAAATTACTTATTAGTAATTACAAGTTATTAATTGGCAGTTAAAAAATTAATAATTATTAAATGAAAATTACTCATTATTAACTACAAATTACTTATTAGTAATTACAAGTTATTAATTGGCAGTTAAAAAATTATTAACTATTAAATGAAAATTACTCATTATTAACTAAAAATTACTGACTAGTGACTAAACATTATGAATTAGTAACTACAAATTACTAACTAGTAGCTAAAAATTATTTATTTATAAAAAAAAATCTGCGTTTCAGGCCAATATGTATTAGATAGAATGGGTATTCCCAATCAATGTTAACTCAATATAATCATTTATTATTGTATAATGCTTTAAGTTTTTATATGCGTAAACCCAGATTTGGCTGTTAATATTACTAAATGACAATTACAAATTACTAATTATTAACTACAAATTGCTAACTAGTAACTTAAAATTATTAATCTCTAAACCAATCTGGGTACAGGCCAATATATCACATATAACAGGCAAATGACACAATGTTTAAACTTTGTCGTTTGATTTACCAGTGTTATAATTTAAAATATTACCAAGTAAGAAGTTACCCAATTGGGATTGAGTATCCACCGATTGGCATTGAATAATATGGCAAAAATATGAAATGGCAACAAGTAAACACCAACAATTAACAATATTATAATACAAATAATTTTGTGTTTTGGATTATTTTCGGGGTTTCCCAAGTAAAAATATCATGTTTGTGTCACTTTTAGATCTTAAGTCCAAACAACTACGGCTACAACATAGAAATATAAATAAAAAGTCCTGTCTCTTCAATGAGAATAGTGAAGAATAATAAGACAGAAGGGTGTCTCAAAACGATTGAGGATAGTGCTGGTAATTCAGACTTTAGCATTAGGTCAATAATTGCCCAATCCAACTCTCATTGCACGTTCTGACCAACTTCTGCAAACAGTCTCGGTAGTCTGAATGACTATTCATTGCGATGAATCACCAGAGGCGGAATTTCAGTAAATGTGTGGGTGCTTAAGAGCATCGGAAACGCAAACAATTTTGGAGGTGCTAAGCACGGGCAGGCTACCACTGAAAAGCGTCTATGTGACTTATCTGTTCCTCGCGGTTTAACACAACTGAAGCAGCAGGAAAGCATTGAAAGGAAGAGCGTTTTGTCAATCAGTTGACCTACACATGTCTGCTTCTTCTCTACCACTGCTAGACGGACGTAGTTTGGATAGGTTTATTTTTTTAAGATAAAAAAAGAGACACGGTTGGTGTGCACTCACGAGATTTTCAATTGGTCGTTGACGACCAGCGAAGAAGCCAAAGACGTTATCGACGGTCTGCCCTTGCTCCTTGGCAAGCCATTGCTGGTGTCGGCGTTGGTCTGGCCGGGTTTCTGGTTGCAAGTGTCCGGGAGAGTCTGATCCATCTGACCGGCTGGATTTGTGAACAAACGGTGCGACTAAGGAACGGGTACGACTAAGGAATACGTATTAAGGAATCGATTGGTCTGATGATGAAGAAGTGAGTTTCCATTCAAAGCGGACGCCAACACGCGCTTTGCATGACTGCTGTGAATTAGAACAAGACCTGTGCGAAACGACACTGAAGTGGATTTGAAAAAAAAACCGCGAATACGGTCATTGGGGGGGCACTCGAAGGTAGATATACGGTTTGTATGTGCGTGATGCAAGCAAAATGTCAAGCCGGGGGATTACACGGCCACACGGTTAACGGTGCTCACAAAACCACCAGGGTTATCTTGTAGAGACGGATTATCGAACGCCATCACGGTACAGGATAGAGAGGGCAAGGAGATAACGCTGTCGGGGAGCCATTAAAACAAAAATGTGGGATCAGAAACGCGGGCTTAATCCGGCGGTCATAAATTAATAAATTTTGTAAATTTTTATTGCCCGCCGATAAACCATACCGATGATATTCGCAATAATTATTGTTTTTGACGTTTTTTTTTATGTCTTCGCTTTGGCACACACGCGGAAAAGTCGACAGTTTTTTTTTTCATTGTTATCATAACGAAAATATCAGCTGATTTAACTGATAAGATAAGAGAGATAAGAGATAATATGTATTATACAATAAAATATGCCATTTTGAAGCATTTTCAAGTAGGAATTTTATCGAATGCGCTCGAGTGGATGTAGGTTTTAAAAATTCAGAAACTTTATCATCACACAAGTACATTACCGATGCAATAAACAAATAAAAACAACCGTTTGTCAAAGCTTTATAATTTTTGGGTAGTTACAATAGAATAATTATTATTATTTCTAATTTATAGGCAATTGCTATCAATTGTCAGGTTATACAAATTGTTTCATTGCAAAACAATTGACATTTAGAAATATTTAAAGACATCCAGTTAAGAGCGCAGAACCTAAAACTACTATTTAAGTCCCTTTGTAGCAAATCAGAATCTGTCGCCTTTGAAAAATAATTAAGTAAAAACTGTTTGAAGGATATTAGATTAGAAACAGTTGACCTCCGAGTGCGAAAACAGTGCTGTTGAGATATAAGAATATTTTTTTAAAGAGACAGGGATAGTTTAGTATTTTGGAACAATAGAGATTTTTGATACAGGGCGGTATTTAATAGTTAAGTTCTTATTACCTTTTTTTTTTTAAAGGCAGGGTTTCCAAAATGAAGATTTCCGTAATGAGGGAAAATAACCATTATTCAGTGGAACATTGAAAAGATATTGTTCTGTAATTCCAAAATGCAACGTTTGGGACAGTCCCATAACGCCCCTCGTGGACTAATCGTTTTCAATTGAACCAATACAATCGAATACTTTATCATTTGGGTACCTATTAATAATATTACACAAAACTAAACTGAATATTCCAAAGATGATTTATATTCATACAATAATTACCACTGACTGTGCAGTTGAATCCAGTTCCTGAATCCATCTTGACTCGTGTCTTACTCATATCTTTTTGCCAACGTTCCCCTACCTAACCTATTATATTATAATTTTTAGTTTTTTTTTTTGTCAATATTACAAAACCGGCATTATGTACACTATTTGCACACATAGTGCAGTTGTGTTGTTAATATTTTGTTGTGACGTTTGCAACAGTCCGACACGTGTGCCGAACCGGTCTGAGAACTGAGAATTCTAGTAGAAGTGCCGGTGACGTCATCGATCCGCAGTGCTTACAGGATGACTGAAAACTTGAACAACGATCACAGCAGTTGCATAACCGAGTAGAAAAATCTCGTCTCGAATGATCAATGGCCGGTTAAATAATAATAATTTTCGGTTAACGATACGAAAACAATTCCGTTTTTAAGGAGTAAGGTATAGGCAATTTTTTTATGTAATCGTTAAACCGTCGCGTGTAATTTCACAGTTGGCAGTAATTAGCGCTGTTTTTTTTTTTTGCTAGTTAATTCGTTTTTCAGACCATATTTTCAGATAAGACATAAGAGATTAGTGATAAGAGATAAGAGATCATTGATAAGAGATAAGAGATTATAGATTACGTAACAATATTGCGTTTTGTAATAAGAACAACTTTGTGTTTTGGATAACAAGTAAAAAAATATAGGGGGTTATGTTGCACTACAGATTTAAAAAAATTAAATCATGTTTATGTCACTTATAGATCTTAAAAATATGTATTATTTTTTTTTATGTAGGAATCCTCAAAAAAAAAAATGGAAAATATATAATTTTCATCAGGTCAAAATATATTTGACCTTATGTCTAGGTTGCTATATGGTTGAGTGAATCAACAATTATTCGAAACAATTTTTATTATACCGTTTATTACTATAGCAATAAATTATCACAGACAGACGATTAATCCTATTCGAATGCACCCTGAAACCAAAAATACATCTTCAAGCACATATTATTGTCATTAGACACAGCGATTTTATCGATATTTGTAATTCTAAGAAGTTCTCATCGAAGTGATTTTATCGCGTTTTATTGTTTTATGGTTTTTAAATAATGTCATATACAGAACCACTCAATGTCTCTCGTCGGGTTTAATTAACAATTGAATTATTTTTTTTCATAGTTGTTTTTATTATAATGTCATCTCAATTTTTACAAATGTTTAAATGTCTTAACCCCCTCACAAACTAATTATTCTTATACCACCATTTAAAACTTCAAATTATAACTCATACATTTCATTAACAGCCGCTGAACTATTTCTGATACAATTTTTCAAAATAATTTTTACTCAGGCTCAATTCTTGGTCTTCTAATTCTGTTGACGTCTTAGTTTTGTGAAGCCAAAAAAACTGAACTTCTTCTTCACTGCTACTACCTAATCATATTACCAGTCATCTAAAACGGGTACCCAGTACACTATGTACAAACCTAGGTATTTGGTTTGAATTAAATTGGCACTTCCATTGAAACGATGACCTGTACAAAGAAACTGTTAATTCTATTTGTTTGTTATACATGTATTCAAATCATAAAGTAGATCTTATCACTATAGTAATATTGATAATAACCTCGGTTTAAAGTGTTTAACTGTCTTGGACAATAGGCTAGTTAACTTAAACTGTGATTGTGATCCAGTTAAAATCATAAAATCAAATGTTTAGTCTAACAAAGTATATTAACATTGACCAGAGTTTAAATACTTTTAATTGGCTATTAATAAAACGGCCCTAAAAGGTTCCTTCAATTGGAGTTACTGCTTGTTTGCTCAGTCGAACAGTTACAGTGTTGCCAACTCTTCATAGTTTTATAATAATTGTTTGTTTAATCAAAATTGATTTACCTGTGGACGTTTTCCAGGTTCAAAAATTAGATATTTATTTGATATTGATTTGTCAATAAGATGCGTTGTTTCGGTTCAAACGGCTGTGTGATATATTTGGAAAAACTGTAAAAATATTAGCACTATAATTAATTTAGAAATTAAAAATCGACCCAATAGAGAAGTTATTGAGCAGATAGTGATTTTTTATTTAATTTAATATAGATATAGCTAAAGGGAAATTATATATTGACTATGTAACAGGTAGGTATTAATAGAATATTCTTACTTCCAACTCAAGTTTTGTTTAAAGTAGGTAGGTGAGCCAACTTATTGTACCTTTTATATTATCTATTATGACTTGTATGTTGGTCGTTCGCAAAATATAGATTATTATTATTGCATTTGATAACGACAAATGGCTATTAAATAATGTTTATTACTAGATGATAGTAATCCTAAGGACTGCTCGTCCTTGGACGCATCGAGATAGGCTTAGAAGTGTAGTTTGTCAGTCATAAAAAACATACACCACACGTTAATTATTTTATTATATATTATATAAAATATATTTATATATATATAGGATTTAATTTTTTGTCATATGTCGCTTAATATATTATATAAAATAAGATGTAAAAAAAAAACGTAGATTCTAATAAATTATAGGTTTTAACAATATTATTAACCGTACAAGACAGTGTAAACAATTGACAGGACTTTGTGGGTCGTTGTCAATGTTATAAGGCGGTAATTATTTACACTTAATATGATACTATAAAATATATATAAATATATATGTATACTTAAAAACTATATTATTTAAGGTAACTTTCTTGTAAAAATAATTATTATTTTATACACGACTAATCCGTTCGAATAATATAATATTTATATAAACATACCACAGTGTTACCGGATGATTATTGTAAAATAAAAAAAATAAAGTGTAAATCGTGTCGGACCGTTTTGGGTTCCCAGCGGTAAAAATAATGTCTTATAATATTAATGATAAAAAAAAAAATACTAACAAATTCTTAAATAAAAAAAAAAATGGTACATGTATAAATAACTTTGTTTGTAAGTAGATTTTTAAAATAAACAGATTAGCCGAGGTAAACTTCACAGAGTAAAAAAAAACGTATAGAGCTGTAACATCATGATGCCCTGTACTCAACAACGGAGTAAACAAGAAGCCGAGCGACAGTGTGACCAATTTAAAAATCAAAAGTAAATACTTTCTTTCATAAGTCGTTGCTGACACTGCACAGTGTCGCCCTTACGCGACAATGTGAAAAATATGCTCTAGGGTAATGTAATTTCGCCGTTGCGGTCACACTGCAGCCGGTCCACACTCGTTTACCGCTTGTCTGTATATTTTGAAACCGACGTTGTTTATTGTAATTGTACATATTATACGGAGCACGATCTCCTTTAATACTTGTTCGGCTTGTGCTATCTACATATAATATAAAATAAAACTAATAATAAAAATTCACGGGGGGGGGGGGGGGTGTGGCCGGTGTTAGGTTGGTCACACTCTCAGACGGCAGAGTGAGAGGAAGAGGCCACGGTAGCGTTCAGTCCGGCCGAAGGTCCACCGTGCGCTCCGCCGCCGCTGCCGCCGTGGTAGAAAGCTACGATGTCGATCATGCTGGCATAAGTGCCGGCCACCAACGCCACCAGCGACACGATTATCACCAGTATGTTCTTCCAGAAGACGAACCGGCTGTTGTGCTGGCGTTTGTCGCCGCCGTCGGTGCCGTCCGACCAGAAGGTTATGATGTGTATGACGGCCGGACAGAACAGACCCAGGATGGAGAAGAATATCGAGCCGATCAGCGAGATGAACGGCGCCAGGTCCGGTACCAGAGCCGCTATCAGAACTATATTACATGGGGACAAAAGTTCGTACAGATGAGTCGAGTGCACAGTAACACGTGACGCCAACAAAAATCTAATAAATCTCTCTTGCGGACATGACGTTATCTCTTATTACTTGTCTACAATCATTCATCTCTTAGCGCTTATCACTTATCACTTGTCACTTGGCTGTTATCTGTTATCTCTAATCACTTGGATCTTATCACGTTTCTCATATATCTCATCACGTGTAATGCGAAAATGGCGATATGACATTTCTTTGTTCCACCCTATTAACATATCCAGGTTATCAATGTTTCCTTTGAAGGAAAAACATCGGATCATGAATATGTCTTAAGGAGGCTTTTATTCCCTCCCCTTCTTGTCCCTTAGCAGTTATGTCTTATCACTCGTCACTCATTTCTTGAGCTGTCTCTTATCTCATGTTACTTGTCTCTTATTCTGTTTTTGTTACTATATATTTATATAATAAACTAGATTGCTCACTAGTGGTAAGAATGGAAGTCGCCATTTTTGTGTGTATAATTGTTATGAACATATTCGTATGTGATAAGGTTTTAATTCCCACAAAAGGTGGAGGAAAATGGTAACCTAAATAATTATCTCTATTGACGGCATTTACACTAAGCAATCTAGTTTATTATATATATATATATATGTGTGTGCTTGTTACTGATCTCTTATCAGGAGCCGTTTTCAAATACCTATTTTCGTATCTTATCACTAACTCTTTATCAGCTATCTCTTATCAACATCCGTATTTAGCTCAGTTTCTTATCATTGTCGAGAAAAAGGGGAATTGATGACTAAATTACAGGTAAACATCAGACATTTTCAAGTCGACCGACAACACGTACTTGTGCCCAGGATCATGGAACCCCTCATGGTGTAGTAGGCAAAGTCCATCGATGGCGGAGTCACGACTGAAGGCAAGTCGGCCGAGGGGATGCCCTTGCGCTTGCGCTTCAATTCACGGCGACGGCGTAAAACTGGTTCCAAACGTTTCCACATGATCTCGGACGGCACGCAAAACTGCAGTCCATAGCTGAACATGATGGAAAGAGCCACCATGATCTTGACCAGTTCGGCAAACCTACCAAAGAAACCGAATAAATATAGTAGGTTGGAATGATTTGAGAGTGTTGAAGAAGATAGGAGAAATGAGAGCAGATCGAAGCGATGGTAAGGGGTTAGAACGTTTTAATTAAAAACATATTTGTTTATAGTTTGCCTATGGCTGTGTGGAGTGAATGCAGAAGCAGAAGAAAAGTAGGTATGGAGAGAAGTTTAACTTGTCGAACTTACACGTCGTTGGGCAAGTTGAGAGTGATGCTGCCGTCCGTGAACGGACCGAATCGCAAGTATCCCAAAAATCCAGCCACGGTATAAAGAGTGACGACCAACACCATTGAACTGTTCAAAACGCCAAATTTCTTCAAAAACCGTTGCGGGTGCTCCATAGAGTTTTCAATGGGCAACACCTAGACGGGAAATGAATCGTCGAGTAAAAGCAAACGAGATAATATGCCGAAAGGCCCGTTTACACGATGATAGAAAACGTGATAGTGGCTGTCGGAATAGTAGCTATTGCGATAGTGATAGTAAAACTCTCAACGTGTCAACAGCTATGATAGTCCCTATCGCACTATTTTGACAGTGCTATCACACTATCAAGGGCCACTCGATAGTACTATCGCAAGAGTACTCTCATCGTGTAAATGAGGCCTTGAGGAACACCATTAGGAGTGTTGAGAACTTACGGTGCCAATTCCTTCCATGGCGAACAACACGGTCGAGAAGAAGAGCGGCATTTGACTGAGCGATGCGATCCACGGCCTGGAGTCGACCGAGGGCAAAGGCTTGGCACCCACGTAGTCGGCCGAAGACCTGAGCTCTGCCGAAGTGATGAAGCTCTCGCCGGTCACCACGAAATACATGGTGCTGGCCAATCCCAGCATGATGAAAGTGGTGGCGATGGCGGAAAACGGGACCAGCACCTTCAGAGTCCGGATGATGCCCAAAGGTACCAGCGGCAAAGCCAGCAAGAGGATCCACACTTGCACCGGCCAATGGTATTGCTCGTCCACGTGGTTGTCGAACACCTGAACAGATAGACATGTTAAATCGTGAATCCAAATCGACGAAACCGATCAGTCCATTGATTTATAAGACATATCGACGAGATGGACGAGTGGAGTGATTAGGCAGGATAGAATAAGAAATTAACACACAAGGGGAGTCTAGGAGTTGCACCGATTGTGAGGAAAGTGAGAGAGAATAGTTCGGTCATGTTATGAGACAGAGGCAGTGAGAGGTGGACTAAGGTGGCAGACCTCATGCAGTTGGGAGTGTGAGGCGAATTGGGTCAAATAAAATCATTTGTCCAAAGTCGATCTTGTTGAATTTCCTGCCCGACTTACTTAACGTTGTTCGTTTTGTACAATGATTTACAGGGAACCGGACTGAATAATGGTACCATGTTGGTGCATGCCAATTAACAAAAAAACCCAAGGCTGTAAACGGTTACTTGGACAACTATCTTACATATTATATTATATAGTATATACGTCACCGGTTGCGCTATAAAGAAAATTTTAGGCTACAACCCAATTTATATGATTCCTAATGTAGTCATAACGAAGTGGTCTTTTATGAAACCAAAAAAAAAAACATGTAATTACAACGGTCTCGTCAAGGAATTGCTGTACAGTAAGTACTTATTAACATGCCACGTTGACTGGTTGCAACAAAATGTATATATATAAACATATACCTTAATTGAGAGGATTGAAAACCGGTATTTAATGAGGTAAAAAAAAAGTGTAATAAAAAAATTACTTAACAAATTTTCAAGATGATTCATAACTGGCAGTATTAGTAGCTAATAACAGCTGTTGTAAAAAGTAGTGAACAATTTTGTCTTGTGGTGATTCGAGACCAAAAAATAATACTAGGTAAGGTTAGGTTAGGTTAGGTTAGATTAGGTTACTTTACTTAGGTTAATAACTATTAACAAGGTACTTAGGTTGATCTGAAATCAATATAAAAACTCACATATTTTTAATCAACTCAAGTAACTAAAGAACCTAATCATTCTTCATCTGAACTATTTAAATATGCAGATAAACGTTTATAAAAAATGGTACCGTTTTAATTTGCATCAAACGAACAGCGTTTGCTATGACTATGTAAAGATATTACATTTCTTCGGTTGTTAAAAAAAAAAAAAAAACACTAGCCGTCACTGTGTTTAAATAAGCAACTTAACCGAACCGCTTGTCTGTAATTATCTGAAAACATATTTTCATTGTGTCGAGTTGTTGCTGGTATAGGTCAATGCAAACCAAATTATGGATTTTATGGGCTACTGGGTCTTAGACAACCGAAGAAATATGACAATAATATTATAAGAGGAAATACCATATCTACAGGGTGATTTATTATTGATGAGACACTCATTTCCTTGTAAAATAATTGCAATTGTATAGTTTATTTCTTTCTAGAAACGTTTTGGTTTATGTTATTTTACAGTATTAACAAAACATTCAAACTTTTATTGTTTTACCAAAGCACTATAAACTTTTTTATTTTAGAATAATTTGCAAAAAAGTTAACCTAACCTTTTGGTCAATTACTTTTATCTTCTCTCTTATCACCTTATCAGTCAATTATCTTATCAATAATCTATTATCAGCTGATTTTCTTATCAATAATCTCGTCTCTTCTCCTCCACTTTTAGATTACTTTTAAAGTTAATAGAGTTTAAAATGTTTAAGATGGAAGGTGGATGCAGGTTTATTTTTAACTGGTAAATCCAACAATACCAACAATACCTCTGCGACAACCTAACCTTAAAGCGCGGACAAAAATCGAATAACGTCTTAGCTTGATTCAACTAGGTGACCTTAGTGTTTTGGTAAAAAACAAAAACGACGGAAACGAATATTAACAAACGCCTACACTTTTTTACGAGATAAAATATTTTGTGTACAGGTTTGACCGTGACTATTCTTGACCAGAGTTGATGGCGATTTTCAGTAAAAGTATTGCAACGTTCAAGTACATATTTTATCGACACTGAAAACACTGTTCACACTGATGATATGTGCAAACATATCATACTTTTTTTCCAGTTGTATTTAATAATAATTGGTATTTCACGAATTCTACACATGTATAATTTATATTGTATCAAATATATAATACATATTTTAAACGAGAAATACAGTTGGATTTTATCAATGGAAGAGCCATGAAATATGACATATTCTGGGTCTCAAAAGTGCATTCAATTGCCAAATACTTATAAATTAATTAATTTTTGGGGTTAAACTGATAACCGTTAAAAAATGTGAGGGGTCGTTAATAAGGTTTAAGTGCAATTAAAATTGCATTTACATTAAATGCCAGCTTCTAAGGTAATAACTGACCTTTGGACACTTGGCTGTTTGATAAGAATTATAGATTACATTTAAAAATAACACCAAAATCGACTAACATTAAATTATACAGTCATATGACCTAAACTATCCTAACTCACTTAAGTGAGGTGCCCAACATATTGCCAAGACTGAGCAATAGCTAACGGTATATGATCAATGTAAGTAAAAAGTTTAATTCGATTTTCAATTACCTACTTTGAATCTATTACCAACCGTTGACTATTTTTTGTAATGAAATGATCAACAACAAGTTAATTATAATATATGTAGTCGATTTGGAAACTACAAAATGTATGGTCAAGCTAATAGTTTCACTTTGAAAAATTTAACTAATTTTGTACATTTTTTTTTAAACATTTGTTTACTACGTTAGACTTTCTATTAATATTTATTTTTTATTTTTGCAAAAATCACCTCTTTCAATACTTTTGAACCTTCCAACTAGCAATTATCTAAAATATAATATTATGTTGGTTACCTGTTTAAAAGATGCGGCGATCAACACCACGTAGACAGTGTTGCCAAAATAGTAGGTGGCAAACAGGGCTGCGTTGACAAACTCTCTGAAAAAAAAAACAATAGAACCATAATTAAAAATTACACCCTTTTAAATGACTGAGGACTGGGCAGTAAAATTTTATGTGAAAAAATACATAAAATAAATCATATTTTTATTTTTCTCGTCGACTGCGTTGGTCATAATATTATCACAATACAACAATGGCTAAACGAATCAAAACTAATGGCTCGTTATGTTTTGATTGTATGAAAAAAAACTTCCAATTTACCATATTTTATTATTTATGTTTTTTCGCATTTTCAAAAGAAATGCACAAACATGCTACATTCATTGTATAATGGCATTGACGACGGTGGTACACACGGTGGTTACAATATATTATTATGTTGTCAATTATAGTGTTTAACGCGCGTTAAATTACACTTTTAAACGGCGGATATTATAAATTATATAATATTAAATTATACTGTCGGTATCATTGAAAAAAAAAAATGTTAAAAATAATAATAGTAATATTCGCCACGTGTCAGGCAACACAATCGGCACGCCAGTGGATGGCAAATAAGATTATTATTAATGTGTAAAGCGAAGAATCGATTGCCTATATGTGCTAAGTCAAGGCGAAATCCTCAGTGATAGCCCATTTATGTGCATTTAGTAGCATAATTCTCAAAAAAAAACTAAGATTGGCGGCCATAAACAGATAAATAAGGTTTCATTAGTACCTATAAGGTGTATTACCTACTATTACACACACACACACACACTGCATATGACCGCCAAGCTTCTGCGAAAAAAATTATATATATGTATATCTACTATGGTTCAAACTCAAAAGTGTGGAAATATTACAGAACTTTAGACAGCCGGCTAAACGCTTTAAACTAGGACACGCTAATTGGATATTGTGTTTCAGATAGTGTTAAAACAATAATAATAATAACATTACAATTAGCATCGGTTTGTGCCTAGTATACCACAGTCTTACATGAACTGTCTATCGTAATATTACTGTTTGGAATCTTAAAAACATATAAAGAAACTGATGATTAATTTTACGGTTTACCAATAATACCAAAATGATCAAAAGCAATCTACTAAAATATCAGTTTTCCCTTTTTAATTTCATTTTTGTGTGTGTTACACATAATTTGATTAATTACAGGAAAATAGTTACACAAATATTCTTCACTTGTAAAGCATATTACCAACTTGTTTTAGGTAATGTATGGAAATATCAATTAATTTATTAAAAAAATATGTTTATCTTTCGGTTACGTTGGAAGAATGCACTCTTTATTCATTTCAACACTTTCAATAATACGAGTTTGTGTAGACGAGTTGAAGTGACACCATTAGAAATAACGATTAGGATGAAAATGTGAGTTGTAGTGATAAAAGATAAAGTCAATCGACTAAGCAACAGTTGGAAAATAATTTAAAGGATTTTTTTTTCTATTTTTTTAACTTTCAAGGTTTTAAAAGTCTACACAGTCTTCCATACTAGACACTGGTGATCCTGTCTAGTAAAAAAAAGTCTACTTCTCTTTCACAAGGTTGGCAAGCAACAACTGAGTGGGAAATTTGTGTAATATGCAAAACGTCTTGTCTTACCTGGCAAATGGCGCCCATCCTCTGTATCGGGGAGGTCCTGTTTCGAAAGCCACAGCCGCCGTGTCAGCAAATCCCAAAGAAGGAGTCTTGACCCTTTTGGAAAGTACTTGCGAGCAGACTACCTGATGAATTGCAAAACAACAGTCTATCAGTGTTTGCCTTTATGATACAATGTGTTCAAATATAACCCCCAAAATATATAATTAAAGGACCTCATTTAAAAAAAAAACATGAAACATGTTTTTAATTTTCCACAACTGAATTGCTCAGATTGAAATAGTATAATTAAAGAAGAACATTTTACTAAATAAAGTGTTCTCTATTAAAAAAATTATACACATTTTATTCTTTTTACGATTGTAATCTCTTATCTCTTATCAATCATATAATCTTATCATCATGTCTGTAATCAGCGAGTAGCTTATCAATCGCTACTGTTATCACTTCGTAACGCTTTTGGCGGAGAAATGATCGCCAAACATGTCTCATGTCAAAACATATTAGTTATAAACGCAATCGAAACGTTTTTTAGACAAAGTTACAAAACTTAAACTTCAATGTGTCAAAATCTAGACAAATTTTAATATCTATATTTGTATAGATGTACTTTAACTGCTCATTCCTTGAAAAAACCTCCTGTACGCGTTTTTGTAGAATAAAGCCTAAATAACTGCGTTGTAAGGTATGAACACAAACATTATGCATATTGAATTCCTATGTCAACGTATATGGCTTTGAACATTTTAGCTTAGTATCGAGTTTTAATGAATAGTTGGTGTTAGTTGATTACTTACAAGCAAGTAGATGCAATGCGTGCACAGGGTGCCGATGGCTATGGTGCCGAACAGACCGAAAATCAGGCCAGAGTTCTTGAACGCACTTGGCATGGCCAATATGCCGGAGCCAAGGCTGCTTTTGATCAGATGCAAAAGAGCACCGGAGTCTCTGGAGACACAAAACAAAAACGCCGTTAAATATATACAAGCAAAATCAGTTTGTTTCGGTGCACTCACGTGGTGGCTTTTGACTTGTCACGGTTGGCGAAAGGGTCGTAGTCTTGTTCGAAGTGGTCGCCCAAAGTGCCGTTTCCCACGATCGCTCCATTGCCGTTGGGAGTGCTCATGGTCGACGACGTTATCGTGTAAGGGTGTTCACCCACGGTCGGCTGGATTGACTTGGCACTGTGTAAAAATTGTCATCATGGCGATTAATGGACCTCGGCTGTCTCAAAAACAAATCCAGCGAGTCTGACTCGTCGTACCCCCAGGGGCTTGGAATGTGAGCGCAAACTGGCATAGCAAAGCTCTATAAGAAATGGTTTGCCATCCCTACACTGTCGGTGAACGGTGGCACAACTTGGGGGAGGTTAAAATGTATACAGAACCTAACCGATCAATGGCAAGTTAAACAATGAGCGTAGCTAAACCTTCGCCACATTTTGCCCACCTAGTTGCGACTTAGACTCAGACACTAGACTGATACATTTTGATTAGGGTTTTCATTTACTGGGTTTGCTTAGGTCACAAAAATGACAGTCAACGCGGTAAGGTTAGCATGGATTAGGTTCAAACAGTCACATAGTCCTAAACCATATGTTATCAATGATAATCGTCTTCCCCTTTTAACATTATGGTTAGCTATCTTATGTGTTTTAGTTCACCCAAGTATAATCAAAGGATTAATGGAAAGCAAAATGGAAACTGATAACAAATGAATTTCCAGCTGAATATAATAGCTAATTTATTAAAAGTCTATACATTTTATTCGGAAAATACGTTAAAGGCTTAAAATAGAGAATTCGGTTTGTTTGGTGTCAAAACGCTTTTATTCTCCTTGGAAAATAATTTACAGCGTCTTTGACTTAAATTCTAATATATTTAAAATAATCAGTTCGGCCATTTTGTCGAAGGACTTTGTCACGGAGTGGATTGAATCAGAACGGACACTTCGTGTAAACAACGATTTTCCGACGGAGGCCGCCATCTTTTCATTCGTCGTGAAATTATCATATCTCTGTGTCTATTTCCATTGAATGCATAGAAATAACATATTATTACACCGGTAGACAATAAATTAATGAGCGGGACAAGCGTATTGTCCAAGAGTGTCCGACCCGTTGTTATCGTGAACGTTCAGGGAACGATACGAAAATAGACACTGATAAGGGGGAAAACCCTGAACAAATTTTTCGGTATAATCGATCAATACAATCGTACAAGCTACTGGGCCAAACGACTCGTGTATAATTCAGTAGCGAAAATCGTACGATGCGATATAATATTTTCGGACGCTTTTTGGCGACACTCGAGTACAACGCGACCGTTATTTAAATATAATATAATGTAATGTAACAATACTCACGCTGTCGATCCGTTCATGATGAGGTTCGCCGACGGTGGCACGTAGTCCAATGAGTACGAGGAAACCGAACGTTTCTTATGGTAATCGCTGTACACCGGTGGGTTGTCCATTGCCGTGGTCGCGGGGGCGTTTATTCCACACTCTTGTGGATGTGATGATGGCGATGATGATGATAATAAACGATAATAATAATAATAATAACAACACTACTACTACTACTACTACTACTAATACGGACGTGTCGAATTTTGATTTTGAATTATTATTGTTTGTGATAAAAAAAAAATATACTATCACCCTCTTCGGATACTCCGGGTGATGCGGTATATGTGAATATTATGCTGCCGCTGGTTGTGTGTATATTATACCTAGTGTTAATATTAATATATGTATGTGCCCTGGACAATGGCTACGACGATTTTCCGGTTTCCACTGTGACCGTGGACGATGACAGGTCCTGTAAAAAAAAAAAAAAACACACACACACACATACAAACTGCGGTTATTAAAAAAAAAAAAAAAATATATAAATAAAATTACAATAATGGTAATAATAATAAAAGGCTTTTCATTGTGTCGCGTTCGGAAGAGATAACGCGTCATTTTTGTTATGAAAATATAATAAGGGAAAATCCATTGAGAGAATATTATAATGGAAATACATTGAGAGCGAGCGACAACGCGCAATTCGCAAAGGAACAGCGTGCACTAAGTAATAATAATAAAATATACATATTATTTATTATGATTGTGTGCAGTTCTGGTTCGACCTTCGGGTAAAACAATATTTTCTTACAGATTTTACAGGAGAAAAAAAAAATGTATATACGATAATTTTCTGACGACAAGTCCAATGACTGCGCCTGACCACAACAATGGAGTAACTACTGGAAGCTAAGGAAGATTTGATGAAAATATAATATTTCAAAGAGTCATCCGGTGTTTTTTTATTTCAAATTTGAAAAATATGTCCAAGTGTTGAGTGTTTGAACATTTGTATATTATAAGTAAGGTTTTTAACTTACTATCATACTTGAAAAATAATCCCAATAAAGTATTCCTGAGGTATTGAATATGTTACAATACTACAACCAATGCAAGATAATAATACCTGTACAAGATTACACCAACACTAGACTGAACTAATCCATTCGAGTGTGTTTAATTGCTCGAATAGAGTGAACGAACTTGCTTGTCCGATAAACAAATTTAATAATAAAAAAAAAGTCCTTAAAGTTATATCCGTATCAATAATCTTTATAAATTTCAATTAGGTAAAGACTAGATAATCGTTTGGCAACTTTACTAGGTTCCTGTAGCAAACGGATTTTTGATTTTTTTCTATAAATAATTGGGTTTTAATGTGGGAAAAAAATTAGAAATGTATTGTATTCAATTACATTAAGGTAAAAATTGTTAAATACTTCCTACACGACATTCGGCAAAGTAACCAAACAAATCGAATCACTTTAGTCGACATTTTGTCTAGCCAATTTCAGATCGACAAAATAACTTTTACCCACTTTTTTCTTAAATATCGCCTACAAAAAACTCCTATTAAAAACTGATCACATGCAAACCGCCTGATGGAAAACAGCTATATTTAATTGACCCACATTATTAGACTTGGATTGTATTGTGTCTGAGATTTGCAATAATAATACTTAATAGATATTGTATATAAAAAAAAACACTCATTATTGACCGTCGGTCATAAATATAAAAAAAATAAAAAACACTATTATCGCTAATTCGAAACACAAATCTGTAATTTCCTCAATTATGGCATACATTAACATTAATAGAGGTACATACAAACGTTCATGGTTATTATATAAACATAACACACACAAACACACAAAGTTGTATATTATATTATTTTACAGACATAATACTGACACGGTGGCTGTGTCGAGGAAGTGAGTTCTACTAAGGTTTTATTTGTTTTTTTTTTAATTTACTAAAATACAACAAAACAGGCGGATCGGATTAAAAACTCGGTTATCTTCAGGTAGGTATGGAAAAAAAAAACACTAATGTTTTTCTGGCTGCGGTTGGAAAATAAAAATATACAATCATAACCTTCACGGTCGTCCAATGTACCGCAAATTGACTCTATTACCTGTGTGTTTTATGATGACGTTCAATAATAGCAAAATATGCAATCACTCTTGTACGCATAATAATATATACCATATAGCTCTGTACAGCTCTGTAAACGATAGGAAAACACCAGAGATAACCTCAAAAATACTTGCTAAAAATCAGTAGTTTAGGGGAAAAAAATATCCCACCCCCCCCTTCAAAAAATTATTATAGATTTAGTTGAAAAGTTCAAGGACAACAAAACCCTCAAAACCGTGAGAATAAAATGGTTAGAACAATGAAATAAGTAATCGATAAATTAATGTTTATTTTTTCTAAAATTCTAAAAACGACAGAATTAAACCTCAAACGGTTTTTGCTAATATTGAAAATAATTTTTTTATTTTTTCAATTAATCATTTTATCAATTATTAATATTATACTTTACCTACTTCAGATACAAGTGGCGAATGATCGTGAAAAATTATCTATCTTTAAACTTATATCACATGTTTCAAGTTAAATCATATTTGAAATGAGTTGAAAATAACTCATATACACATTTTTCATAACAAAATCCAGTAATATGTAAATACAGAATAATTAATTTTGTTTTTTTAAAGAAAATTTAATTTGTATTTTAAGCAAACTTATATTGTAAAAAAAAAAAATAAAAAAATGTTCTCACTACTAACTTGATAAGGGCTGATTTTTAAACATAAAAAATATGACATGATCTCTCTTATCAGTAGTTATCACCACCTTATCAGTTCTTATCAGTACTTATCACTATCCACTCCCCTCCTTTTCTGGTGGGCAATTTTCGTTTAGACCATCAACCATAATATTATGACTATATTCGTGTTGAAATAACATTAAACTACAGCCAAACAAAAGTCAAGGTTTAGTTAAGTGTAGTACAATTATTGTTTTGATTTAAAAAGTTCCATATAAAAACATGAGTAGTAGTTTTATTAAGAATACATAACCCTTTCATTGAAACGCTTAGTAACTTACCCAAGAAGTACTTTATACATTTATTTCAAACACAGTATTTCAGTTTTAATTGATATTACAAACTTAAATTTATCTGGTCACATCTGGTACACCGTTAATGTAGTTAAAAAAACAAATTAAATTAAAACCAAAAAATGGTACTCGAGTATCAAAACTTTGAGGTATTGATTAAAAAGTTCTTTTTCCTTCAAATAAAAAGTACATTTTCTAATTTAATTTTAACGAGTTAACGTTTTTGTTTTATTATAATATCTTCAACGTGTTGTGTGTGCTTAACAAAAGAATTCCAAGTATATTTTTGAATGTAAATTTTAATGATTTTCTTTGTGCCGCAATAAGAACCGGTCTGGAAATGATTAGGTGTTTTTTAGATGACTTTTAAACTAGAAAAAAAAACATGTTAATTTAAATAGTTAGAGTCATACCTACTAAATATATTTTAATTGAAAAAAAATTGTTCGGAACGCATTTATATAATATTTTAAATGCATCGTTGGTAATAAATAAAATTGCTTCAATTTTTTTAGCACTAAGAAACGATATGAACGGTCTCTCGTGGTTAAACCGGAATTAACATTAATATTATAATATATTATTTTTCAAACCAGTTCTCAGTTCAATAGAATCTATTAAGTCTATTGAAAACAATTTTTGAAGCACTTCTTTGTAGCATACACAACAGGTTGAAAATAGTGTAATTTTCACAACTTTTAAAAGCAATTTACAGACCTACAGAACAAAACTATATATTATAATACACAACTGTACTGCATCAATGTCTAGGTGATATATTTATTTGGATTTAAATACAATTAAAAATAGACACACACCATATCGGATCCACTAACAGCCACTGTAATATGTCTGACTTAATTAAACAAAAGACAATTAGCGTTCAATTTGAATAACAAGACGTTATTATTACTAAAGTAAGATGGTAATTGACAACCGATAACCGCAATGCAAAAGTAATACAGCTGTGTTATCTTTGGCCGTAATTGATATATTAAAATATATTGAATTGAGCTTTAATTTTTTGCTGATTGAATAGAAATTTGTTCGACCACTACATGTGTCGCTATTGTTTTTTAAAATATATTTTCACATCAACACACATTATATAATATGTCCTATTTTTTTTTTAGGTGGCATCATTTTTTTTTGTGTTTTTTATTATTTTTTTGTTTGTCCTAATCGTATCGATTATAATGTACATGATTATGATTGTCCATTATCCGTGTGTTATTACATACACATAATAATAATTTATATATAAACGTCGACACTAAACAAATTTTTCTTCTATCCGTATCTGTTTTACAGAAAATGTCAGAGGTCGGTGAACCGACAATTGACTATTTTCTATAATAACTATATTACCGTTTTGTATTTGCAATTCAAATTTGTAAAAAAAAAAAAAGCCAGTACAGTGGGGTAATACCGTGTCCTGAGAATATTCTATACAAATTTGGAACTAAGTGGACTATTTTGTAAAAAAAAAATATGCAATGCTATTTTAAGTCGAATAAAAATGTAAATTTTAAAGATAATTGATTGAAATCTCCATTGCAACCGTCTGGATCATAAAACAAAAATTCACTTAAGGGTAAAAAATATTATTCCCCCTCTCTTCCACCCTTCAAATAATATTTAACTTCTTAGAATCGGTAAAGGTCTCAAGTTTGTAGAAATTATTGTTTGGCCTCAAAAATTGATGCATTTACAAAAAAAAAAACAAATATTGTACTATCATACTGACTTTTTTTTTACCTTGAGCTATGCTTAAGTATCCAAAAATTTATACATTTTAATGTTTTATGTCTTATTTTTTTCTATAAACAATACGACCGGGACCAAAAAGCTTTGGGAAATTTTAATAATTATTCTTTTGATTTTATTCTTTTGAAAAACTGTTCCTAAATTGATTCGATAACTATGATTTATTTTAAGTTTTATAAAGTTGTTTAATCTTAGTTAACTTTTCCTTTTTTTGCATTTATTACATAATAGTTATGTAGTTAATTTTCATTAGCTAATTATTACAATATTTACAACATTTTTGCAGATATTTTAACACAACATGTTTAAGGTTTTTTTTCTACTTGTTAAAAGATTAGACTTCTATATAGTAAAACTATTCGACAAAATATTAAATCAAAGTGAAGTGTGTAATAAAAAAAAAACATGCGAGGGTTTTTTTTATTTGCCTTTTTTCAAGTAGGTATTTCTAAAAGATAAAATAAAACCCATTTACATTATTTAGAACACTTATTATTCGGAATATTATTGAAAAATCGACATTCTTGACCCATTAAGGATATTTATTTGAACGTTTTTATTTTTATTTTTTATGAC